TGTATCTTGCATTACAACTGACAAATCAGTACATATCAAACTCTCATTTGATAGAAAGACAATCTAAAACGCATTCATTATAGCTCAGTTGCCGGTCCATTCATAAAGACATCATCACTCACTATAAATCATTTAATCAACTCCGAACTGTCGATCAAAATCTTAAGAACGTTAGAGCGAGGCGCAGCCACTTAATGCAAAGCATAAATTAATAAAATGAGCTTGTCCTTTTCACACTGGCATTTATGGTGTGCCTGCTATTTATGTATGAACTATATATCTTTGTTAATGGAAACCTATACATATATGCATATCTATGTATATAAGTATGTATACAGCTATCTATCTATCTATCTATATACACAAACACACACATATGTAGTATATATATATATATATATATATATTATATACTATATATGTATTACATATATACTATATATATCATATATATGTATATGTGTGTATATATATATATATATATACAAATACTTATATATATCAGAGGTAGAGAAGAAAGATATAGTGTGAGAGAGGGAGAACCAGTAGATTTGTAGTCTTTCTTATCATGTATGTTTGTATTTGGTTGCAAGATTTTTTCCTGTATGTTTATACAACTGCCTACGTGGCTGTAAGTATTCGAACCACGAGTTAGCATAATTACAAAGCTTCCAAAGGAGAAATACATTATCAATACCAACAGACAAGAAGTCCTTCGAAAGTAAACATGTAAATAAAGCTACAAAAAAATAAAACAAAAAAAAACAGGAAAGGGTTTCGTTCGCATAATTTTAGTACAAGAAAAAAGATTGCCATCTCCATACCTAGCTGTTCACACGTAATATATAAAGCATACATATATTTAGACACTGTCTTTTGCCTCCTCTCCACACTGAAGAAATACAGTGACCTGTACACTTTGAGAGTTGCACGTTGAACCCAGACGGTTTCTCAACGGTCGCAGCGGATGTAACCCGGAATTCGCTTGGTATCACTGTTTACAATCATTTTCGACAGCCCCACGAAGCCGGGATTACACGAAATTACGATATAAATACGACAAAGCAGTAGCCTTTAAGCGACAGCAACTTGATTGGCAACGTCCGACCGGAGTTTGCCTATTGGTCAGTTTGCCAGCAAACGTCACCGAAGCGATGTGACGTGGCCGCCGTTCATTGGCTATCGGAACTGTCATGAATGCCCTATTCTTACTGGCTTATCACAGACCCCATACACCTTACAGCGGTTTCTAGTCATGGCTGCCAACTCGTCATACGGCGTCAAATACACCTGCCCGTGGCATGGCGTTATTAATTTGCTATGAGGGACACCGAGGGCTCACTCTTCCGCCCCTGCCAAATGTCGGCGACACCAGAGGGGTACAAAACACCGGCGCCCTTCGGAGGTCCCTCGGCGAGAAAGAGGAATCGCGACCGAATTAATGGACGGAGGGAGGATACACGAAAATATTCCAGTGAATTAAAAGGGCTTCACAAAGAACCTTATGGAAAAGATACTGAAAAAAAATATCCCTACGCATGCATGCATACAGATTTACGCGCTCTTTTACACATTTATAAATACAAATATGTATAATTATAAAGTATAGGTATAAAATGTTCTTGTAAAAAAAATATACAATGATTTCAAAATTATATTGTCGTAATAATTATGTGTGTGATTATGCATGCATATATACACCTTTATATATTTATATATATATATATATATATATATATATATATATATATATATATAAAATATACGTGGTATATATTATATTATATATATATATATATATATATATATATATATATATATATATATATATATATAATATAATATATACCACATATATTTTATATATATATATACATATATATATATATATATATATATATATATATATATATATATATATATATATATATAATTATAGGTATATAATGTTCTTGTAAAAAAATCTACAATGATTTAAAAATTATATTGTCGTAATAATTATGTGTGTGATTATGCATGCATATATACACCTTTATATATGTGTATATATATATATATATATATATATATATATATATATATATATATATATATATGTATATATATATATAATATAATATATACCACATATATTTTATATTCATATATATAAATATAATATATATATATATATATATATATATATATATATATATATATATAAAATGTATATATGTATATGTGTGTGTGTGTGTGTGTGTTTGTGTGCATAAAATCTATTTATTTATTATTTAATTTATGTGCGTTTATTTTTGTGTATGCGTAGGCATATAACAACATATGACTTCCCATTCATTCATGTCCATGTTTATCCACTATCGAAATATTTTTTAAAACAGAAAGCCCCATTTAGCCTGTTCATGTGAAGCATAACACAAGGAAACCGAAGCCAAGGCCGCAGGCGACAACAGAACAATTCGACAGGAATACACTGATGACAAAAAAGTCAAACCTACAAGTA